CCATCTTTTGCCTTTCCTGTCAAGTGTATCCCGGGCAAAGTCTTCATCATCGAGGATTGAGGAGTTGTAGGAGCCATATCGGTGAAGGGGCAGTTTCCCAGATTTCAAAAACTGACAGATCCACTTTCGTAGGTTGCGTGCGTGATTGGGTCCTCGTCCTGCAGCTTTTGCTGCAATCAGGGAAGCCTCCCGCCATGTATATGAGAGCTGTGAATCAAGATAAAGATTCAATGTCGCAACCATCCCTGTAATTCAGCTTCGGAAGAACACATCAAGCTTCTTGTCTTTGCTCTTGACGGTGAGTTTTGCGAGTGCACGACGCAGCATAGGAAAGTCCTTGTAGCATAATCCATTCAACAGGACATCAGTCCTTGTCTCAGGGCTGTCATCCAAAGGGCGACATCCGTTCCGCAACTGCTTCAGGAGCTCTTCGACTTCCTCCTTTGCAGATCTCACTCGTGTGTCACTCTGGGTGCCTGTAGTGTCATGCAACGGCCCCGGGTTCATCTAGTCTTGTTGGTTAGTCCTCGATTAAGCTTTTGACATGCATCTGGACTGACTTCATTGCTCAATTCATCTCTTTCAGGGAAGAGCCGGCCCATGCTTGCCTCAACATCTTCGGTGGGTGGGTCTTCAGGTGATGAGTCTGAGTCTGAACCAGATTCATCCTCGGAGACTGTCTTTTTGGCTACTGTGAACCAGGAATTAATAAATTGTTGTCCAGCTGCTGCTAACTTCTTCCGAATTGAAGGCATGGAGCCGCTGGCTTCGTTTCGAGTTCCCAGTGTAGTGCTTTGGGCGGTTGGGCTTATCAGCTGCTGCTTCACGTTCAGCCTTTACAGCAAGAGCTTGAGCTTCACAGAGAACAGCTGCAAACTGATGAATGTCGCTCTCATTCTTCAGCCCCTCTAGTTCTTCCTCATCAACCTCCACCTCCTCCTCATCCTCTGGGTCCCAGTCCGAGTCTGAATCCAAGTCTTCATCCAGGAAGAAGAAGCCTTCTTCGAGGAGTGGCTGCCTGTTGCTGGTAGGGATGTAATCTTCATCTTCTGACTCGCTCACATCTTCTACAGTGGGTTTATAGGACCTTCTAGGGTGGTTGAGGTTCCCAAGACGTGCAGTAGTTGCTTTGGAGTGTCGGCCCATGTCTGAATGTGCAGAGAATGGTTATTTTGTTGCCATTTTGTGGCAGTTTGTGGCCTTTCCTCCTCCCCCTAAGTCACGTGTATGCATTATGTAAGCGGCAAAATCCACCGTGTCGCATTTTCAAAAAGAATATTGCCTTTACAAAAATGGGTTTTATTGCATTTACTACACTTTTCATGGTCAAATTTTTGGACCCTTATTTCTTGGCCCCAAAGCAAAAATTCAAATTATTTTTTCCAGGGATCTCTTCTTTGGAATGTATTTTACAAGTCTTAGCACTATGATGGGGAATTAATTCAGTGTTGAGGCTGCAATTCGAGGCGACATTGCAAAGGTTTTTGGATTACATAAGCTAGCTGGTTCCTGATGGCCTCTACCTTACCTCACTTTGCACTGCACCACCAATCCTTCCAATCTGTGCAAGACTTTATCAACAATATCAAGTCTTCAGGTGCTTCATGTTATCTACAATGATATGGACATTTTAGATTCAGGCATTCAATATGAATTTACTGGCATTATACACACCTTTCAATCCTTGCAGGAAATGCATTATACCTATCAGGATATCTGCCAGCTTGCCTTTTTTCCCTCCTTCTCTGCACCAAAGCTATCAACAATCTATTTCATACAAGAGGATTTGAATTCCAACAACGAATCCATCAAGAACCTGTTCGAGTCCATGGCTACAAATATGCCACTGGCTCCATTGAAGAAAATTAGCTTTGATGTTACTTGGGACATGGAAGCCGGTTTTGACTGGAATGATTTTGAAATTAATAATTTTCTTGAAGATTCCTCTCTTCATTGTCTTGCTGTATTTTCTTCTATGGAGACATTTTGCTTTAATGCTTTAATGAACTTGACCAGGTTATCCAATTCTGTGTTCACATCTCTTTCTTCTTCTTGGCCATCTCTTACATCTTTTACTCTTGGATCTCGTTTTACCCCTTTGGCTACACAGCGTCCCACCACAACTACAACATCCTTTTATAGTTTTATAACTCATTGTCCTCATCTTCAAACCCTCCAGTTTCCATTTCAACCTTCTCGAAAGCCCAAAACTTTATTCAGTTCTTCTTCTTTGATGTTGAAAGAATTTGGGCTCTTTGGACATATCAAATCCATCCGCTATTGCATCGACTTCTTTCATTTCCTCTTTTCAATATGCCCATACCTCCACCGTATTTCTTTCTATAGCAGCCATATTTCTGATGTCCAGAACTACTTCACATCACAACTTAAGCAAGATGGACGGTTCATTGTTGATGAGATTTTTCTGTCTGTATATTTGTTGTGCATGTTCAAAGTGCCCTGCTGATTTGTTTTTTTTTTTTTTTTTGATCAACAATTTATATAGCGGTGCTCGATGGCAGCCCACTCGCTATCTAGAAACACGTATGCTATGCAGCCTGGTTACTAAGTAAACTACTAAAAGACGTCCGCCTCCCCAACCACAAGCCTTGCGCTCAAATGCCGGAGCTCACACAAAGCCAGACCCACCTTGCGAAAATGGTGACACGGGATAAGGGGAAGAGACCATCAAGGCCCTGCTAAACCCCAGAGCTGTCGGATGCTGTTCGGAGGCCACGCAGCGCAAATGAAATAAGAGAGCACCACCCGGGAGGTGGCAGGGTGTCTTAAGGCTGACAAGCCAGAGATGCGCCTGCCTGAAACCAGACGCAGAAAGTTAGTGGCACTGCGACACGCTATAATAGCGGCTGCAGGCGAAGGAGTGAAACAGGCGCAGGTCTCCGAACCCTAAGGTCCGAGGGTGTCAATTCACCAATAAATCCTCCAAAAGGAGGAATAACCCCGCCCGCAGCGATTATCCGACACCCGAGGGGTCCCGGTTGAAGCCAAACAGGGTTGTACTTC